ATCATGTTTTGTTTTGTTTTTTTATACAGTAAGTACAAAACATTATTCTTACGTGAGATCTGAATTTCACCTCCATGTATGAGTGTAACTTGACTAGCGTCATAACTTGTACATTACTTTAAAAATAAAATGCTGACTTTTTTTCAGTTTTCATTTTATTTACCTGTAATCATATTCAATGCTTTGTTTTTATACCTTACATAAAACTTAATACCTGTATAGTAAAAAATAAAATATAAATGGCGTACGTGTACTGTAACCTTTTGATCAAAACATGATATCGTAGGTGGAGACTGATATCTTACCTTCTGATGGTATTATGTTTAAAAACTTATTAAAAATTTATATAAAACTACATTTGGGGTATATGCATATTATTAAAAGTAAATGGATATTGTGTTTAGACTTGGGTCACATCCCCAAGCTGTCCCATTTTATAGATGCAAATATAAAAATATTCCGAAATCCAAAAAAATCCAAAACCCGCAACACTTTCGGTCCTAGGAATTTCGGATAAGGGATTCTCAACCTGTATAAGGTTATTGGCAATTTGTTAGTCATGAGTCTGAACATACAAATAGATTAACTTGAATCTTCTTGAAATCTGAAAGTTTTCAGGTGGACATACCTGAAGAAGGCTCCACAGCCGAAACGTTGTGTCTCTTTTCTTTTCAGCTTGGAATAAACCTTTCCTTGTTCCATTTTATTCAATACAGTGCAGAGCATAGAATAATTACTTTAATATAATACAACTCATAAAGCACAGTTGACATAACTAATTTTGTCTAAAGCATAAGATAAAAGCTATTGAGTTCAACAAATAAACCACATAACACTTAGAGCTCTGGTCTGCGTAAGGAAAATGGCACAAATCCCATGATCTGTTGATTTTCTGTTGAAACCTGAATGCATTCTTCTGTTAGATTTCCATTTATCTAATTATTAGTGCTTGCTCAAAAGAAATGCTTGACACATCCTTGGCAAACGTTCCAACAGTTCTTACCACACCTACAACTCTAAAGGAAGTTTGCGGCGCTTGTGACCAAACTGCTGGATGTTTGCATCTTGCATAATAACACTTTTAGCATTTCTCCAGATGAGAGCACTGAATTAACACATTTTTTAAAAATAAAATTAGCTTGTGTATTATGTGCCATTCATTAACGATTGTCCACAGGCTGAATGTTACTTACGAAGACACATGCCACATATCAGCCAAATGCCCAGGTCTCAGCTACTGGGCTGTGGTCTGTTCAGCCAACAAGGTCTTTCATGAGTCAAGTACCTCTTTAAGAAAATAGGAGTTCACCTCCATCATAACCCCAGAAAATCAGTCTGGTTAATTCTCTCACCAGTGCGACACAGCCCTACATTTCCTAACACACTTCTGAAAGCACTCAAGCGATACATTGATGACTGCGTCGGTGCCGCCACATGCTCCAACGACCAGCTTGAGTGCTTTCTGCATCATTTCACCAACTTCCACCCATCCCTTAAATATACGGTTAACATATCTTCCCCTACTCTTCTGTTTCTAGACATCAACTTCTCCATCAACCACCCTCAACTCTCCACTTCGGTTAGAAACCCACAGATTCACACAGCTATCTCCTGTATAGCTCATTTCACCTCAAACACACAAAAAACTCTCTCCCTTTTTCACAGTTCCTTCGGCTACGACGATTATGCAGCGACGACATCGACTTCCAAAACCAAGCCCTCAAAATGTACTCCTATTTCATCAACAGAGGATACCCCAGCAGTGTTACTGACAGGGCCCTTGCCCGAGCTAAAAACACCCCTCGGAGCATCAACTCAATCAGGAACCCCCGCCATAACAACCCCATTCCTTTGTGCTTCCCTACCACCCCAACACACTTCCTATCCCTAGGACTATTAACGACAACTTTTCCTTCCTACAGGATGATCCCTCCATTGGGGCCCTCTTTTCTGACCACCCCATAATCTCATATTGCAGACCACCTAATCTGTGCAACCTTCTTATTCACAGCTCCCTTGACCGCCCTCAACAACCATCCACACCAGGCACCTTCCCTTGCAACAGAGCTCGCTGTATCACCTGCAAGTACACAGCCACCACCACACTCATTCATGGCCCCTCGGGACAATTCCGCATCACCCAGATGGCATCTTGTACCTCCAGCAACCTTAATTACTATATCTCTTGCAGTAAATGCCCAGTCATCTACATTGTAGAAACAAGAAGGATACTGGGAGACCACTTCAGAGAACATGTTAGGGCTGTGAAGATTAAAGATCTCTCCAAGCCCATTGTTTCCCATTTCATCTCCGACGGCCATGAGCACTCTAATCTCTCCGTCTGTGTTCTCAAAGACGGTTTTCCGAACTCATATATCAGAAAGCTAGGATCACACCTTCCCCCTTCTCTTAACGACAGACTACTTTTCTTCTAAATTTTCTCCATTCATTGGAGGTTTCATTTCACACCTCTCTACACCTATTCTAATTTCACACCTCTTGATTGGCCTCTCTTTCTGTCCCCTGCTCCCGACTCTCGCTCCTCCTCTCTCCCAGCCTTTGTTCTCCCGCTACATTAACTTTGCTGTCTGTCTTGTCTTTCTCACACCTGAAGAAGGCTTCACGGCAGAAACGTTGTGTTTTCTTTCTTCTTTTTTTTCAGCATGGAATAAACCTATTACTTGTTCCTTTGCAGCCTACGCATGCTGACGCAGCTACCCACCTGAACTATTATCTCCTTAAAGATTACTTGTACAGCATGCCCAACAGGAAATTACATTTCATTTTAACACAATCTCAGTACAGTAGTATCCTAATTCAGCAACGCAGGACAGAAAACAACAGGGGAAATGTATTTACTATGGGAAAACTGGAAGGAAAGTTGAACACATTCTTATTTTAATTAAATAATGTATAACGCGTTCAGTGAGAAATATGACTTTTTATGGCAAGAGTGACAGACGGTATCACAGGCTTGTTCAGAATTGGGAAAATGAGAGAGAGAGTCTTTATTATCCCCAAAGGGCAATTTGTTTTATAGCAGCAGACAATATAAAGAAAACAAACAATACACATATGCATGCCCCCAAAAAGAGTTTATTAAGCAGGTTATAGCCACAGGTATAAATGAGAACTTAAACCTGTTTGCTTTTAAAGTGTCAAATCAGTATATGCGCCTTGAGGAGAGCAAGAGGAATTCATTAAACAAAGGCTGTGAAGGGTCCTCTGGGACAGAGTATGCTTTATACCAGACCCGGCGGGCAGGGCCGAAAAGATCAGCACCAGTGACTTCCTGACACAGTTTGACAATACTGCCCAGTTTGTTCTTACTGCTCAGATTCAGATGACCAAGCCAGCAGATTCAACAAAAGACCGAAAAACATGAACCACAACGATTTATCAACCTTCAACTGTTTAAGCTCTCTTAAGAAAAACAGGCCTGGCATTATTCTGGCAGAAATAAATAAAACAAATCAATGTTCGGCTCCTTGTAAAACATTTCAAGCTGAGGACAAAATGTAGTAAGGTTTCATTGTTTAAAATCTGTGATGCATTTTAAAACTGATAAGGTATTTAGTAAAGGTTAAAAGGTATAACTGACAATTAAAGTATAACTGACCATTCTACATTATTAGTGCAACATATTTTACAGGTTCTTAATTTACAGTATCTTTGCAGATCATTGTTTCTTGTAATACCACTGCTCTGATGCATCAATAACATCTATTATTACAAAGACACACTCCTATTGTCCTTCAACCACTGGGGGCTGGCTGGTGTGTCACAACAATACACAGTGTGATTCAAGGTCCTGTTGCTGCAACTGCTAAGCACTCCTGCTGCACTCAGGAATTGAGACATCAATTGCACCTGAAAGTATCCTAAGAATATAGTGCTTTTTTAATGTATCTTGTATTTGAAGCTGCTCCTGGTGACATAAACAAGAAAGCACAGAAACTCAGGATGCCAGGAAACAATTCAAGACTACAGAACTTTCCTTGAGCTCTCCTGTGTCTCAGCTGCCTGCAACATTTAAGGTGGATATTAAGTTGGCAAAACTTGGACCAACCCAGTCATGAGTCAGTCATGAGGGAACAAGGTCTGACAATCTCACCTGAACACCTCTGGATTCATAATCTTCAGGCTGGGCTTGGTGTTCAGGTTAAATTAGTTTGTGCTCCTGAGAGGCCGTTTTTTTTGCTAGTAATGCATTTTGGATTTTTGTATTAAGGGCTGACTACACATAATAATGCAAAAATCACATTACCACAAAAAAACCCATCTGAATAAAGCTAAAATGCCAACTCACCATGAAAGCTTTGCTTGTCTGTTATGGAATCTATTCCCAAAACACACATCCAAAATTAGAAGAACAAGGATATCAACACAAGTTCAACTCTGAAACCACAAGGTTAAATGATAATGTTTCTTCAAAGGTGGCTGTTTTAAAATGTGTCAGGCTCTCATTCACTATGGCTACAGAGGTGACAAACAAAACTTCAGCAACAACAGGACAAAGGCTATTGGTGCACCTGTAATCTTTATGCTTGATCAGTAAATACTTGTAGAAGTAATAATGAACAACTGACCATCTTCAGTCATGACATATGGCAGATGATTAAAATAACTGTATATGCAGCCAATCTAATTGTACGTCATAGCATTACGTGCAGAATGCCCGACACCAGTGGGAAGATTATAGTACAGGACATGTGATATACTGTACTATACATCCATATAGAAGCTTTACTTAGTCTTCACTGTTGACAAACACCGACAACAGTGCAGGCTTGCAGCTCAGAACGTACTGCAACTCTCACGCAGACTGACGAGCACGCAGGCGTGTGTTAAAGCGTTAAATGCCTGCTTCACCGCTCTGCGATGCGGGCTTTTGTGGAAACACCATGGGGATTCACGCAAAGCTCGCTCACATTTAGTCCAATTCACGGCAGGCGAGAATGACAGCAGGGCCACGGTGCGAGGCGAGCGGCGGTGCCTACCTGTGCTTTCTAAAGAGGTCGTCGCTCTCTCTGAAGCCGTTGTTCAGCAGCATGTTGATGCCTTGCAGGGCCAGCTCCGCGTCATCCAGGTGCTCCGCTCCTTCGTCCACCTGCTGCTGGGCTTGCTCCGGCCCGGCCATGTCGAGGAGAAAATCCCACTGGGGAGGGGTGTGTGTGTGTGGTGGTGTAAGGAATGAGAGACTTGCCCGGGATCCGGGATCTCACCACCTCTTGTCTATAAATCGAAAGCAGCCGCACGCCAGCACAGAGAGAGGAAGAGGTGGAGTCGCCGTTCCCTTTCTGCACAGAATTAGTCAGCAGGCGGCTCCAACATCACCCACTACGGCAAAGCACTGCGGGCGCACCGATCTTCCCCCGGCGCACTACCGGTCCCGGAGCAAGCCCCCTGCGCGAACCGTACCCATCCTCTTCTCTTAACACTGCTTAGATTCGCACTTCGTTATTTTTTTAAACATCCCTGCGGTGGGCAGGACCTGGATTCTGCCTGGTGCAATACTGCATGACTCCCCGGATATTCCCGCGGCCGTACATTCACCTATAAAGCACGACGGAAGAGAAGGAAAGAAAAAAGGCTCCCCCCCCCCTTTTTTCTCACTGAATGAGCAGGACTAACTCCAGAGGCCAGAGGGGAGACCGCAGCTAATGCAACACCCCCTCAGCCCCGTGTAGCACAGCCCCGCTCGGCGCGCACAGGTGCTGCGATCCTGGCGCAGACGTGCGGATCAGCCAATAGCGCCGGCGAGCCGGAGTCAGGTGCGGCTGCTTAACACTGGAACGCGCAGACGCGCCGCGCACGCTGCGAGGCGGGGGCGAGCACGGCGGAGGGGGGCGCGGCGGTGTCATTCTGCCAGCCATTGCGAACAAGAGCCGGAGCAGCTACAGTCTCTGTGCCCGCTAGCTGTGTAGACACGGCGGCTTCAACTCGTTTGCACCTCTGTTACGATCTATCAGGGTTACTCTGCTTGAAATATAGGACTTCGACGTAATCTCGAAGAACACCGAGTGAGGTTCTCATATTTAAAAAAACTACTGTATATACAGGATTTCTGTAGTATTAAAGTGTCTGTTTTCTTCGTAATTCCTATGAGCAAAGGCATATACTGTATCTATTAACAGACACGTCCACCACCACGCTGTAAGGTATCTGTCGTTAACTAGTGTGCTCCCGATTTGTTTGTATAATAATAAATTAGAATTATTGTCACAGTAATAATAATGAGTAATAATCGCGGCCATTTTGAGAAGAAATATAATTTGCTGTTGTATTTATTTTTGCTCCCTTGGCTACTTGGGATAGAGTATAATTTAAAAATCGGCTATTTACATTCGTATTTGATTCCTCCGTTTATGCCTTTTTGTCTGACGTTTTGGCATGAAGCTAGCAAGTTCCAATTTCAATTTCCGTTCTGATTTTTAAGTAAAGTCGTGTAGGAATAATTTTAAAAAGCAAACCAAGGAGTACGTAATACAGTCCAATATTTTGCACCTCTGTTTTCGCTCCATCATCACTTCTCGTACTGACGTTTGTTTTCCGTCACAACCGCTGCGTGAATGAACTCTACTGCTGTACCCAAGAGCCGGAGTTCACACTCGGTCATTCCAATAATTCCAGTAATCCCAACATTTCAGAAGCAAGAGAAAAGATATAGGAAGATGTAGGAACCAGCGGCAAATTACATGTGCCTGAATTCTACTGCAGTACAGTATTCTTTACTATGGAAACAGTAGTGATGATAGAGTATTGTCTATCATCACTACTGTATGTGATCACTTCCATAAAATGGGTCCTTTCTCTAAATGCTATGCTGCCAGCCTAATTCAGTAATATTGCAAAATGCATTGGACTCTCCCCGCTTTTCATCTCCAGTTTGAACCAGAACTACCACTTAAACAGCGTCTGTCTCCCCAAGGGAAATTTCCAGACTTCCAAAAGGTTCAATGCAAGCCCACATGTGAAATGAGAAGGCAGAGGGAGATGGGGGTATGTTTATGCTGTATGTAGTGTTTTATGGCTAGGACTAGTTTGTGTTTTTAACATATTTATTTTATGTTGAGTGGTATCTGTTTTTTTGGTTGTTGTTATGGGGATGCTAAGGACAAATTTCCACCCTTTTGGATGGACAATAAAGTTATAGAAATTAAATGTCTGTAATTAATTAGAGAGTGCACAGCTCGTCTGTACTGGGCTTCACTCTGAACTGGGGTGCCTTCTGTGTGGAATACGCAGGGGTCCGCACAGCCACGGTGCAATGGCTGAGCCCCGCCCTGGGCGAACCACCGATTTTTAAGAACTTTATTTTAGTTTAACAAATAAATACAGAGAATCACAAAATAGAAAGCTTTACATGAATATATTTATATACCTAGAACAGTATATATGAATACTTCTCATTTAGGTTAAAAAAAAACAGCAGTCACTGTAGAGCACGGAAATGCTCAGATGACACCCCAGGTAGGGTTAGGGTTAGCATTCACACACTACTTAGACAATTTTCAAGCTCAGTTCTGGATGTTGGGATCCAAGTCAGGTTTAGGATGAGTGGTTTCTTGAGACTACCTGAAAATTTTTTTTTCAAAACTCCATGGGGCCTGGATGTTGCGGTGCACCACGCGGCAGTTGTATTCCAAAACTGAGTCAGTCGGATCCAATGGGTCAGCAAGCATTATTGAAACTCATTCAAATGCAAGTGCTCCCATCAGTGCTCTTGATTGTTTCCCAATCATTCTTTTTGGTTTGGGGAAGATGTCAAAATCCTATGCCAAGAGAACTTCAGATATATATATCGCGTAAATGCTCAGTGGACACCCCAGGTAGGGTAAGGATCAGCATTTAGACACTTTTTAATATCGGGGTTGGATTTTGGGGCCCAAGTCAGGTTTAGGATGAGTGGTTTCTTGAGACTATCTGATTTTTTTTTTCCCAAAACTCCGTGGGATTGGATGTCGCAGTGTACCACGCAGCAGTTGTAGCCCAAAACTGAGTCAGTTGGATCCAATGGGTAACCAAGCATTATTCAAATGCAAGTGCTTCTATCAGTGGTCTTGATTGTTTCCCACTCATGAACTTGAACTTGAACTTTATTGCCATATGTAACTGGTACATGTACTGGTACAATGGAATACTTGCAGAAAGTCTCTTGATTGTTAAAACAAGTGTTAAAACACAAAGTGCAGACAGAACAATATACAAACAAACAGTAGACAATATACAAGTAAACTGTTTGAATGTAAACAATACAGACGTGTAAACAATGACTAGAGATGTGTAATAAATAAGAAATCATAATGAGTTAGATGGTGTAGGTGTGGTCTGAGGGGCATGGCTAAATGTGTTCGCCAATTGCACTGCTTGTGGATAGAAGCTATTGAAGAATCTAATGGTAAGTGTCCATATGCTCTTATATCTCTTGCCTGAGGGCAGTTGGGTGAAGAGCTCATGCCCTGGGTGGTGACTGTCCTCTGTGATGGCCAGAATTCTACCATGGCAGCGGTCCACAGAGAGCTGTTAAATCTTGGTGAGTTCACAACCGATGATCTTCTGGGCCAAATTGACCATTCTCTGCAGTTCCTTTCTTTCTCAAGAAGAGGCTTTGCCATACCACACGGTGATCCAGTTGGTGAGGATGCTCTTGATGGTGCAGCGGTAGAAGGTCACCAACACAGGTACTGGCAACCCCATAATTCTTTTTGGTTTGGGGAAGATGTCAAAATCCTATGCACAGAGAACTTCAGATATACATCGCTGAAATGCTCAGCGGACACCCCAGCTTGGGTAAAGACCAGCATTTATGAACTACTTAGACAATTTTAATCTCAGTGCTGTATTTTGGGGGTTACGATGAGTGGCTTCTTGATCCTATCTGAATTTTTTTTTCTCCAAAACTCAGTGGGGCCTGGATATCGCGGTGCACCGTGCGGCAGTTGTATACCAAAACTGAGTCAGTCGGATCATATGAGTAACCAAGCAAGATTAAAACTCATTCAAATGCAAGTGCTTCTATGTGTGGTCTTGATTGTTTCCCACTCATTCCTTTTGGTTTGGGTAACATGTCAAAATCCTATGCCAAGAGAACTTCAGTTAGAGTTCGTGGAAATGCTCAGTGGACACCCCAGGTAGCATAAGGATTAGCATTTACACACTACTTACAGAATTTTTAATCTCAGGGTTGGATCTTGTCATGTAAGTCCGAAAGGACGAACCGTGGAATGGCAGGAGAGCGATAAAGACCCTATGCGTAGCGGCAAGACGGGGGTTAGCCCGGGCTCAGCTGTTCAGGAGAAGCCATATAGAAACCTATGCCCTCAGGCCAAGGACAGGAGTGACCTGGTGCTAGGCGGGTCTCAGAGCAACTGAACTTCAATGCTGAGTGAGTAGCAGAGCAGAAGCAGGAAATAAATAGGCTGCACAACAAGACACACCAGAAAGACATGAATAATCACAGGGAACTAGGAACAGAAGGAACTTAGAGCGCCCTCTAGGTGTAATTAGTGTGATAGTACCCCCCCCTTCACGGGTGGCTTCTGACGCCCAAAAAAGAGCTGCACAGCACTGGGGGGAGGAAAAACCTAATTTAACTGAAAGGAAACCTCCGGGAGTCCATGGCTGAGAGCTACCCCCTCCTCTGGGGTAAAAACCTTTATTGAGTAGAGAAAGGGGGGGCCGAAACTGAAAAAAAAAAACAGACCGAACAAACAAACAAAAATCAAGAACAAAAATAAACCCTGACAGAACTGAGGAACAATAAACACATAAGGGCATGGGAGCCCGGAGCCAGGGAGAACAGGGGGCGTGGGAGCCCGGAACACGGAAATAGCAGGGGGCGTGGGAACCTGGAACAGTGACAACAGCAGGGGGCGTGGGAGCCCAGGACAGCGACAGTAGGAGAGGGTGTGGGAGCCCAGGACAAAGGCAAAATACGCAACAAGTATAAACCCTGATGGAACAGGGAAAGCAAATAACACGTAAAAGAAATAACCCAAAAGCCAGGAAACAAAAAGGAAAAAAAAACGCCCGTGGGGTCTAAAGTAGGCTCGGCATTCTGTCAAGTAAGTTCGAAACGACAAACCGTGGAATGGCAGTAGAGCGATAAAGACCCTATGCGTAGCGGCGAGATGTGGGTTAGCCCGGGCTCAGTTGTTCAGGAGAAGCCGAATAGAAAACAATGCCCTCAGATCAAGGACAGGAGTGAACTGGTGCTAGGCGGACCTCAAGGCCGGAGTTTTGAGAAAAAAACGTTTCAGCTAGGATCATGAAACCACTTTTGTTCAACTTGACTAGGGCTAAAAATCCATCCCTGTAAATAAAAATTCTCTGAGTAGTGTGGAAATACTGATTCTTACCCTACCTGGGGGGTCCACTGAGCATTTCCGCGAACTCTAGTTGAAGTTCTCTAGGCATGGGATTTTGACATGTTCAACAAACCAAAAGGAATGAGTGGGAAACAATCAAGGAAACAGATAGAAGCACTTGCATTTGAATGAGTTTCAAG